GAGTTTCAGGCGTTCAAAGACACCCTGGAAACCCCCGAACTCTAAAACCAAAACCGCAAGGGTGTAGGGATGAGTGTTCAGGGGCTAGGGTTTGATGATTGATACGGCTTTAGGGTTTCGGGGCTGCGGGCCCGGGGATTAAGGTTTAGGGTGTAGGGCCTACTTTACAAGGGCAAATCAAGATGTAGGGTTTGCACACCCTAAACCCTAAACTTTAGGCCCTGAGCCCTAAATCCTAAACCCTAACCTTGGGATCCGAAAACCTACCGTTTTGAGGGTTCTACCCTCTAATTAAGGGGTCATTACCTACTATTTTGTAGGGTTTGGAGCTACAGGAAACCCTACACCGGTCTTCTAGAGTCCTAGAGTTTACTTGTTGTAAAGGGTTTCACCGCGCCTCTATAGGGTTCAAGCTCTCAGGTTGCAGGGTTCCTCTAAGGGCTTTACCGATTTTATGTGGTTTGGGGTTTAGAGTTTGGGAGTAATAAGGTAGTAATAAGCTATAAGGTTTGGCATTTAGGTTTCGGGTTTTTGGTTCGAGGGTTGCCAATTAGAATCCTTGCAGGATTGAAAGGGTTCATGCAGGGTCTTTTTTCCCAAATAGTGTAGCACGCACTTTGAGGTTCTTACGCTGAGCGTCATCTGAACTAATTAGCGTAGCCGCGACAGCCCTGTGCGCACGCGTGCCCTTCACCCTAAACCCTAAACCCCAAAACCCAGGACCCTAAACCCTACCGTAACCCTGAATAACCCACCTTTTTTAGGACTTATATAAGGAAATCATAATAAGGAACCCTAAAAGGGTAGGCTATTCAGGGTTAAGGTAAACCCTAAACCGCGATGGGAGGCTTTTTCGGGACGCGACTCAGTGCACAGTTTGCGCTCACTTCTGTCTGTTCGAACGAAGGAGTCAGGAACTAAGTCGTAGGGATCTATAGGGTCCCTAGAAGTGATCTTTAGGGGCTTAGGGTTCCTTTTAAAGGGCTCCTACAAGGATTACTACTATCAGGGATCTGTTAAATATGAAATCAAGGAGTCATCACAATTTTGTAGGATTCAGGGGCCCTAAACCCTAAACCCCAAACCGTAAACCCGTGACCCTATACTCTCTAAACCTTCAAACCCTAAACCCTATAGATCCTTCATTAATTCCGTAAAGGGGCCCTAAACCTAAACCCTCGTCCAGCTGGTTGCCTGGATCACCTCCATGATCCTTCAAGTAAGGAACCCTATAGATCGCTTTTAAGGAGCCCTATAGATTTTTTGTTTAAGGAGCTCTATAGATCCCTTTATTGATCCTTCAAGCAGGTTCTTGCCTGGATCACCTCCACCCTAAACCCCAAACCCTATTCTAATTATTAAGGCCCCTATTGTAAACCCTAAATTAAACCCTATAGATCCCTTAAAGGGGCCCTCAACCCCAAACCCTATTCTGAGTATTAAGGCCCCCGTTGTAAACCCTGAATTATACCCTTTAGATCCCTTAATAGGGGCCCTAAACCTAAATCCGCGTCCAGGTTCTTGCCTGGATCACCTCCACCCTAAACCCCAAACCCTATTCTAATTATTAAGGCCCCCATTGTAAGCCCTAAACCCTACAGATCCCTTGGACAGGCCCTAAACCTAAACCCGCGTCCAGGTTCTTGCCTGGATCACCTCCATGACAGACCGCACCCTAAGGGGCCTTGTGAACGAGCTGAGCGAGAGGCCGCGGCCCGTTCGGGTTTCGAGTAGCTCCTTTAAAGGGAGCCATACGGGTGCCCTTAAGGGTTCCTAGAAGGGATCTCGAGGCTCCTTTAAAGGGAGCTATACGGGTGCCCTTAAGGGTTTGTTAGTAGTAGATGGAATCTATAGGCTTTTGGGTTGGGTACTTGGGGATCCAAAACCCTTTCGCTTTACGGGTTTGACCCTGTAAGTAACGAATCATAGCCTACGATGTTGTAGGGTTTGGGTCACAGTTACGGTTCGGCAGGTTTAGTGTTCAAGGTTTAGGTTTAGTTTAGCGTTCAATTCAGGGTTTAGGGGTTTGGGCTTTCCCTAAACCCTTAACCCTGAACCCTAAACCGATGAAGCGCTGTAGAACTCTATACACCCCCTCTGAAAACGCACTGAGCATCCAAGAGAATACTGCAATACCCTACAACCCTCACATGCAGCCTTCAAGACCTATGGAAGTGTATGAAAACTAAGAAGCTTGCGGTAAAACTTTATGAGCACCCTCTCCTGGATCTTCCAAAATCCCATACCTAGGGACCCGAAACCCTAAACCCCAAACCCTAAACCGCCTCCGATATTTTACGGTATATCCCTTAACAAGGGATATTGGCAGTCCGGGTTCTTAACGCTAAAGCCCTTTGGGGTTTGGTGTTTAGGTTTTTGGGTTCAGTCATAGGGGGCTTAGGGGTTTGGGGGTTTGGGGTTCAGTGTCTAGAGTTTTTCGGAACCCCTAAACCTCCAACCCCAAAGACCTAAAATACCCTTTGTCAAGCTCCTACATTGAGCCCTTGAGCCCGGCTTGGGATCCTCTTCGCGGTTGGGGCTTCGTTTTTCTTTTGGTCTACGGTTTTAGGAGTTGTAAGGTTTTTGAGGGTCTGGTGCAGGGTTTGTAGGGTTTAGGTGTCACTGTTCATAATTTTTTTTTGCAAGGCCACTTGTAAAAAGCAAGAAAGCCCTACAAGACCTTCAGCAAAGCAGTAAGGTAACCGTGAAGCCTTTTGAGGAACCCTTCAGAAGGAACCCTTCAAACGGAGCCCTGAAATGCAGCACTTTAAGAGCCATAAGAGCCATAGAACTTACCTGTATCCCCAAACCCTACAAAATAGTAGGTTTTGACCCCTTAATTAGAGGGTCTGACCCTTAAAACAGTAGGTTTTTGGATCCCAAGGTAGAACATCTGAAACCCTTTGTCTCCCTTGAACCCTACAAGCCCTGCAAAATCCCGTAGAACCCTATCACCTGCCGTAGCGGCCATCCTCCAACTTCGCCACAGCCTAAACCCCATAGCCCAAGACCATATAAACCCAATGAGGCCTCATATATAAGCCTTATGGAACCCTTTTCGGAACCCCTAAAGGAACCCCCTTAAAGGATCCCTGTCGAGTCTTCGGAAAGGTTCTTCGTGTTGCAGCGCCAGCTGCTGCAGAGACGCGAGCAGCTCAAGGAAGCTCTACCCTTCTTTGATGAGTGTAAGGCTTAAGGTAGGTTTTAGAGTGTAGGGGTTTAAGATTTTTAAGGTGTGGGTTTAAGGTCAAGGGTTTAGGGTTTAGGGTCGTTATGGTTTAGGGTTTTGGTCTAAGGGCTCAAGGTTTAGCGGATCAGGGTTTATGGGTTTAGAGTTTTGGGGTTCAGTGTATTTATGCATATGTCTACATTGATCCCTTCTTACTTCGGTCATGGATCCGTCGTGATCTGGGGTGTAGCAGATCAGCTGCCTGTCTTGGTGATCCTCCGTGTTTGCGGTGAGCAGTGCGGCACAGGATCAACTGAGCAATGTCTGCATAGCCACGGTTTAAAGTTTAGGTATAGGGTCAAGCATTGGGGTCGGAATGCTTAGGAATAGTAATGGTGTACCCTAGAGTTCCTCAAGATATACAGTATAGAGTATAGTATACCTCCCAAACCGTAACCTTGTTAAACAAACTTATCCAGGCACCTAGATTAGTATGATCGGCGGAGACTCGCAATGTTGGGGTAGGACAGGCTGGAGCTTCTTGAACGGCTTAGAGACTGTGGGGTTGAGGGTTTCCACCATGCAGACTGAACCACTTTGGCCCTAAACCCTTAACCTTGTGCCGGCTTACCTTCGGTGCTGCCCCTAGTCTGTAACAGTTGTGAGTATGTATGATATACTTACATGTAGCCCTTAATATGACCCCTATTATGGGCTGTTAGAGGGTGGGGTTATTACGCAAGGCTTAGCCTTTATGCTACTCAACCCGAAAACTGTCAACCCAATGCTTAAATGCTTAGGTTCCCCAGTAGTGTCCTTTTGCACTTTCTCTTTGAGGGGTTCCCTTCTTAAAGCGAAGTACAGGGAAAAATGTACCCTTATTCGGGGCTACTAGGGAACCTAGATGCCAAACTGTTCTATATCATCGGGGGTGCGATAACGTAGAGATCGTACTGCCTTAGGTGCCTCTGCAACCATAGTGCATTGCAGTATACCTCTGTGCCCTGTCCGGAGCAACAGGCAGCGGACTGTGTGGAGAACCTCGAATTCCCAGCACCCGAAACACTCCAATCTGGCAGGGCCCCGGAGTCTGAATGCCCTGGCGGAAGCCGAAACCTGAAGCGTCAACTTCAACATAGGCCCCACAATAACTGGAATAGGGTTCTCGTGGTATATCATTGAACCACGATATATCTACATATAGGGATATGGGGATACTTCTTGCAAAAGTTTCGATCGACATTGGTACTTCTTCTGCGTGTTCGTTAGGAATCGTTCTTGTGCTTGTAGAATACGAGCCCACGGGTTTCTTAAACATATTACTCTTCATTTTGGGCCCGAGGGGCTTTCGGCAAATACATGGCAAAGGAGCATGCTTCTTCAGTTCCTGTTAGGCATCATGTGGATCGAGGCAGCTAGGAATCGTGCGAGCAACAGTATCGAACGAGCAAGACAGCAATGCTGCTACAAGTAGTGAGCATGTTGGCTTCTACCCTAAACCCTAAACCCTAAGCCCTCAACTGATAGAAGTAGTCACGATGTTCGTTTTACTCGCAAGGAGAACGAGTTCGCAACCCCCAAACCCCCAACCCAGCTCTAAATCCTGAACCTTCAACCTCTGGCCTCAAAGCCTAAACCCTGTCTCCCGAAATAGCCCTGACCACACCCAAAAAGCAATCCCGAACCTTTAGTCTTGTAGAAGCTTACGGCAAGCTCGAGCCTGAATCCGTCGACAAACCGTCGCACTATCCGTGGATCTCACAGCCTGCCGCGCCACGGGCTCTGAGGGAAGTAGCACCTCTTAGCAGCGTTGGGAGTTACGATCAGTCCCATGTCTAAGCTTTGCAAGAGCACCGCGCCGGGCCGAGAGCGTCCATCCGAAATCCCGGCGTTGAAAGTGGACCCGGCAAAGGTCACCATCCGAAATTCTAGGGATTTAGGTTTTAGGCTTTACTTAATAGCTGATCCCTTTAAGGGATCTACAGGGTTTAGGGTCTAGGGTTTAGGCTTTGCTTAATAGCTGATCTCTTTAAGGGATCTACATGGTTTAGGGTCTAGGGTTTAGGCTTTGCTTAATAGCTGATCCCTTTAAGGGATCTACAGGGTTTAGGGTCTAGGGTTTAGGCTTTACTTAATAGCTGATCCCTTTAAGGGATCTACAGGGTTTAGGGTCTAGGGTTTAGGCTTTACTTAATAGCTGATTCCTTTAAGGGATCTACAGGGTTTAGGGTCTAGGGTTTAGGCTTTACTTAATAGCTGATTCCTTTAAGGGATCTGCAGGGTTTAGGGTCTAGGGTTTAGGCTTTGCTTAATAGCTGATCCCTTTAAGGGATCTATAGGGTTTAGGGTCTAGTGTTTAGGGTTTAGGGGATAAAATTGGCTGACATAGGGGGCTTCAATAAGCAGAATAGGTTCAAAGCTACTTGACTTAGCAGCTGAGTCGTAACCTTGACCTTCTGGGGTGTATATAATCCTACCATAATTGGAAAGGTTAACCTGTTTTGGGCTAGGGTGCTTAGCTGGACTTAGCCCCTAAGAAGGTCACCGACATCTTCTTCGACTTCGATGGCACTTTAACGGCTTCAAACAAAGAAGGGGTGTCTGGATATGTTCTGCCCTTGCTGGAAAGATGTGCGGGGCTTCGCATTTCCGACTGTATTGAGGGCCCTGGCCGTGGCCGCGACGTACTAACCTGGAAGGAGTTGGACCTTCGCATGGCAGCTGCCGTGCCAGAAGCAGATCTAGGCCTTTCCGGCGAAAAATCCTTGCTGGGCAGCCTGGAAGTTCGTCAGCGTCTGGAAAGCTCCCTAAAGCTGCTGGTTTCTTCCGGAGTTCGACTGCATCTGCTGACCATGGGCACACCGCAGACGTCGAAGGCATTGCTTGGGGCAGCTGGTTTTGATCTGAGTCTGTTCTGCAGCTTTCTGGGCCCCTTTGACATGGCAATGCATCAGTCACTTCGAAACCTCTTTGATAATGGCGACATGGACGGGCAAGAGGCAGCTGAAAGCTTCGAGTTCGACGTCCAGGAAGATATTGACGCTCTGCACCACTTGCAACGAACAGGAGATGAGAGTCCGGAAGCCTTACACCCTAAACTAAGCCCTGAGCCTTGCATTCTAACACCCCAAACGCCAAGCTAAGAAGCAGGAGATCAGAATCCCACACTGCAGCGCATTATGACCATGGAGAAGAGGCTTTCCAAAGCGGCGCTCATTCTCTCTCTGGTTGGCGAGGGCGGTCTTCTTGTGGATGACAACTACTCAAAGAACATCTTCGACGCACATAGCAAAGATGCTTGTTGGCATTTCGTCATCTGTATGGGAGTTTCCGAAAATAGGGGACCCTAATATAGTACCCTCAGTAGTAGGATCCTTATTATAAGGACCCCAAAACTAAGGTACCCCTAATTTTCGGAAGGCCCCTGTATGGCTTTCCAGTGGTCTCTATTCATAACTACCGTTTCGGGGCCGTAAACTATGATGATGCTAATGACAAGAGCGCAGCAGTTTAAAAGGCGCTATGCATCGCGTAGAAACCGTAATATAGGGGCCTAAATAACTAGTTACCACTATTATTTTTTGGGGGGTTCCTTATTGTAATTATCGTAGAATGGGCCCCGAAACCCTAGTCTAATTATTGAGGCCCCCATATTTCTCTGTGCAGCCGAGGATGTCATGTATCTTCACGTGGATCCTGAGGGTGTTCTGAACACCAGTTCTGCCGTCAAAGACTTGGCAGAGTTGATTGCTGCAAAAGTGGGAAACCGGTTGAGGGTTTAGGGTTTAGGCTTACCCTTTTTCTTTGCTATCGTACAACAGATTTCAGTCCAAACCCTACCAAAACCCTAAGACCTTAACCCTAATCCCAATCTCCAACCCAAAACCCGTAAATTCCTAAACCCCGTAAACCCCCAGACCCCTACACCCCTACACCCTAAACCCCGAAACCCCCGAAACCCCTACCAGGACATCCAAGATCCGGAGCCCGGAGACCCACCAAGTCTCTGCGTTCCAGGCTTAGATCAGCCGGGTTTAGGGTTCAGGGGTTTAAGGTTTAGGGGTTTAGGGCTTAGGGCTTAGGGTTCAGGGGTTTAGGGTTTAGGATTTATAAGGTTTAGGGTTTAGGGTTTAGGGGCTTAGGGTTTTGGGTTCAGGGTTCGGGGTTTACCCTAAACCCTACACCCTAGGGTTCAGGGTTCGGGTCCCCAAATCCTGCAAATAATAGTTCATGACCCCTTACTTACCCAGATCCCCGGGAGGATCTAGAAAGTAGATCCCCTAATTTGGGGCCCTATACTACTAAGGGTACTTTATGGGAACCTCCATTAAGGCATCTACTTTTTGGATCCTCCCGGGGGTCTGGGATAAATGGCCATTTGGGCTGTTTTGAGCCTCAGGGTTAGTGCTTCCCTGTGGAGCTTCAAAAGCCTCTTCAATTTCTAAAGAGGTTCTAAGGTCGCTATAGATAGCACCCTTTAAAATCCCATAAACCCGATAGCACCCTTTAAAATCCCTATAAACCGCGATTAGCGCTTTAAAGACCAATTTTGATAATCCGAAGCCCTAAACCCTAACCCCCTAAACCCCGAAACTGTACACCCGTAAGTACGGCCTCGATATGGGAGTTTCCGACAATAGGGGACCCCAATATAGTACCCTAAGTACTAGGAGCCTTGTTCTAAGGACCCCAAAATCCCAAAAGAAGGCAACCCTAAACCCGTAAGCCTCCAACCCCTAGTTACGGCTTCCATATGCAACGCAGGAGCAGCAGCGAACGAAAGGGCTGGCGATGTTCGACCTCCGTGAAGACTGCACCACCAAGGCCTGCTGAGGGTTTAGGGTTTTGGGGTTGAGGGTTGAGGGGTCTTGGGGTTCGTGGGTTTTAAATACAGTTTATGTACTGCTGTAATGTCATTAAGAGTTGGTTGACTACTTAGGTCATTCATTCCTTCATTCATTCATCCATTTATTTATTCATTACTTAATTATTTAACTATTGGCAATTACCGCTGACCGCAAATAAGAATATCATCAATGTTCATAGTTCATCGTTATAGCCATAGCAGTCAGGAAAATCGTGTTACTGAGGGCTTCGGGCATATCCGTAAGCTTACGTCGTAAGCTACAGTCACCCCTTAAGCACTTATCGCGGCATCCTGCAACCCCCCAAAACCCAAACGATTCCAAAGCTAAGCCACAGAGCAAGCATGGTTCAGGGTTTAGGGTTGGGGGGTTAGGGTTGCTGCTGCTGCTGCTGCTGCTGCTCTATTGGTTCTATAGTAGCCGCGAAAAGGAGCCCCATGACCTAGTTACCAAGCCCCATGATCCTTTAAGTAAAGCCAAAACCTTAAACTCTCTATAATAATCCCTTTAAGGAACCCCTTATAGATCCCTTTAAGGAACCCTGTAAGGATCCCCTTAAGGAGCCCTACAAAGATCCCTTTTGAGGACCTCTTTAAGGGCCCCTTTAAGAAGGACCTGGAGACCGCCTATCGCCGCCTGGCCCGCTCCATGCACCCGGACAAGAACGGCGGCACCGAGGCCTTCGATGTTCGTCCTTGAAAGAACCTTAGTCTTTCGGGTTTCGGGTCCTGTAAAGAAGAGAATCTCATAGTTTAGGGTTGAGGAGTTTAGGTTTTAGGGTTTTAGGGTTTAGGATTTAAGGTTTAGGGTTTGGGGTTTAGGGGTTTAGCTGTTTAGGGTTTAGGATTAAAGCCTGGGTTCCCCACTAGTACCCTGTTGAGCAAGGGTACCATCATTATTAAGGGGCTACTGGGGAGCCAAAAAAAAGTAGGTTCCGTTCAGGGTTTAGGTTCGAGGGTTTCATGGGAGCCTTGAAACGGAAACTGTAGGGGATGAAAAAGGGTTGCGAAGGGGTGGAGGGTTGACACCAGAGACTCCGAAAGCACCAAAACAGGATGGATGTTCCGTTTAGGGTGTACGGCTGAGGTACTTAAACTTGTAAAGGTGCCTTTGTTACAATTTGTTTTTGTCCTTGTTACGGGTTTGGAGTCTCCAGCAACTTGGTTACTTGGAGGCTCATGGGACTTAGTAAGTAAGGTTATAAGTACCTTAATTGGGGTTATAAGTAATTATAAGTATGGTTACCTTATTTATAATCCCAACTACTAAGTCCCATGATCCTTTAAGTACCCGAACCTGAGGTCCTTAAATATCTACGCTCTAAAAGCTAAGAAGAACGTTTGCACTGCCCTTCTTGGAATGTTTTCTGAAACCTGCAGAGAACCTATAGCCTCGTAGTATAGAAGTCGGAATAGTTGCCACTGTTATTCCTGAAGGTTCCTTCTTGTGACTATATAAGAGTATATCAGCAAAGCCCTTCTCCATTGTCTCGGGCCCCCATACTGAATTCCCATAATTCCCCTTATAGTGACCCTTACATGGAACCCTTCAAAGGAACCCTTTAGACACTAATTATTCAAAACTATTTTTTGTAGGTTCTTATTATCAACCCTAATATGGATTTTACAGGGACCCTACCAACAAGTAGGTTTTGGTGGGTTAAGGTAATGCCCCCCATATGAAACCCCGCACAAACACCACTAAATGTAATCCTTATAGATCCCTCTATAAACGGAACCCTTTAAAAGGCACTATTCTAATCATTAAGGCCCGCATATCCCTAAACCCGAAACCGTTAACCCTAAACCCTGAACCCTAAAGCGTAAACCCGAAGCCCTAAACCTTAAACCCAAAGCAGAGAAGTTCTTCCTGAGAGGAAGCCAAGGAGCGTTTCCAGACCATGCGGGCGAGATACGAGGAGCTGTCTGACCTTACGCTCCAAATTTCAACTCTGAGCCCCTGTAGTACCCTTTAAAGGAATTACAGTACCCGGAACCCTCATAACCCTAGTTACTAAGGCCCATGAACCCTAAACCCTAAACCTTGCATCCTAAACAACCCCACCTGTATCCCCAAACCCTACAAAATAGTAGGTTATGACCCCTAAATTTGAGGGTAGAACCCTTGAAACGGTAGGTTTTCGGACCCCAAGGCAACCCTAAACCCGAAACCGTAAACCCTAAATCCTAAACCATAAATCCTGAACCCGGAACCCTGAACCATAGGCCGGTCGGGTTACTTCATCGCTTAAGGGTTCCTGACCCGACTATGACCACGAGCGCCCTAAACCCTCAACCTGGTTAGGCAGTAGGATGTTCAGGAACACGGCAGAGCAGAATAAGGTTATATGTGATATTATAAGTGTTTATAGTCGCCTGATTTGCAACCCCCATGTTACTAAGTCCCATGAACCTTTAAGTAAGCCCTTACCTTAAGCCCTTTAAGGGGAACCTTTTGATAGATCCTTGTAGTACCCTTTAAAGGAATTACAGTACCCGGAACCCTCATAACCCTAGTTACTAAGTCCCGTGAACCCTAAACCCTAAACCTTGCATCCTAAACCCTACCTGTATCCCCAAACCCTACAAAATAGTAGGTCTTGACGCCTCAGTTAGAGGGTCGAACCCTTAAAATGGTAGGGTTTTGGATCCCCAGGTAAAAACCCTACATCCTAGACCCTGAACCCCAGATCCTCATTACCGAGTCCCATAACCCTATGATAGCACGCTATAGTACCCTTTAAAGGAGCCCTTAAAAAGTCCTACTTGGAGGGGCATGGGACTTAGTAAGTAGGTTCTAAGTAGAGTTATAAGTACCCTAAATGGAGTTACCCCAATTATAACCCCACTTGTAAACGACTTACTAAGTCTCCTGTCCTTCCAAGTAGATACTAAGTCCCATGACCTGCAAGCAGGACTCCCGAGCATCCCTTTGGGCCCTTTGGGCTCCCTTTGGGCTCTTTTGGGACTCCCTGGAGCTTGAAAGTTTAGGGTTTAGCTTGGGATCCGAAAACCTACCGTTTTAAGGGTTCTACCCTCTAAGTCATAATCTACTATTTTGTGGGGTTTGGGGCCACAGGTAGGGTTTAGGGCTTGTAGGGGTTTCTTAAAGGGATCCTGCGGTGCCTTAAACGGGCTCCTGGGGTTTAGGGCTAAGGGGTTCAAGGGCTTTTAGGGGGTTTGTGGGTTTTGGAGTGTTTAGGGTTTAGGGCTAAGGGGTTCAAGGGCTTTCAGGTGGTTTAGGGGTTTAGGGGTTTGGGAGTGTTTAGGGTTTAGGGCTAAGGGCCGGGTTCAAGGGCTATTGGGGGGTTTAGGGGTTGCGGGGGGGTTTAGAAATTAGGGGTTTTGGGGTTTAGGGGTGGGCTTGCGGCCTTCTAGGGCTGTCTGGGATTTAGGTTTAGGAATTCTGGGGATCCAAAAACCTACCGTTTTAAGGGTTCGACCTTCTAATTAAGGGGTCATAACCTACTGTTTTGTAGGGTTTGG